TATAGTTTAAGTTTAAAAAATTTGGCTCTCAAAAGAAATTTCAATCGTTGTACTGTTGATATTTGGCTCTGTTGACTAATGAATTTGCCGACCACTGTCTTAGACCATCGGATATTTGCCTTTATGTCATATAATAATATCACGTTGGAAAAGGTCCAGGGTGTTAATGTCCAATTTTGACTTGTAGAAATTAAAAATTTTTTTCTATTTAGAAAAAAATAGAACATATAACAAATGATTATTTTTCAAATAATTTGAAATGATTTTTTCAAATTATATAACAAATGATTATTTTTCAAATAATTTGAACTCTTAATTTTACAGCAAAACATGTTGATTCAAAATTGAGAGCGGGTAATAAAGAAGCAACAGATGAAGAGCTGGAGAGGATCCTTGACAAAATCATGATAATATTCAGGTTTATTCATGGTAAGAAATACTCTTGTTCTTATTAACATTGGGTATATAGAAAATGCTACATAATAAAAACATATATATACATATTTGGGCCCTATCTTTTCTTGAGAAAAATTGGCTAAAACATTTCCACTTTCATATTTGATTAAATAAAAAGTATTTTCTTTGTGGAAATTTAACACAAGGATTCAGTGAAATTAGAGCTGGCTTGCATCAGAATGAGCATTTCTTAGGGTTTTTCAGCAGTTAAAGTGAACATTTGCATATCATTTGTCTAATGTTATTTTCATTTGGTTATAAATAGGTAAAGATGTCTTTGAAGCATTTTATAAAAAAGATTTGGCAAAAAGACTCCTTGTGGGAAAAAGTGCCTCAGTCGATGCTGAAAAATCTATGTTGTCAAAACTAAAGCATGGTAAGCATGTGGAATCTGGGCTTTTGTCCTTCCTCTGGGCTGGGAATTTATTGCACTAACAACATGTTGCTCCTGGTGTTTTTCACCCACCCTTCACTTATGTCCTAGAATGTGGTGCTGCTTTCACCAGCAAACTGGAAGGCATGTTCAAGGACATGGAGCTCTCCAAGGACATCATGATTCATTTCAAGCAGGCAAGTTCTGTTTTTTTCAAGTATAACAGCTTTTTTAAAAGTATCCCACTTTAAATTATGTGAAATGGTTATGTAAAGTATGTAAATACTTACATAAATTAGGTAAAATTCTCATCCTTAAAAAAATTATACTGTTAATGTCTCACGTATTCAAATAACCTAAATTCAAAATGAAAAAGAAAAATAATCCCTAAATATGTATAATGAAAATTAGATTTAAATGAGTTTAATGATATCTTATATTGGTGACATAACCAAAAAAGAAAAAATATTATGAAGGCAAAAATACCATTTGCCTTTTTATAGGTTTTTATGATATTCTAAAATTATTTTGTCTTCATTTTCTTTGCTTTTAGTATATGCAGAATCAGAGTGACCCAGGCTCTATAGATCTAACAGTAAATATACTTACTATGGGATACTGGCCAACATATACACCTATGGAAGTACATTTAACTCCAGAAGTAAGTGTTTTAAAGACTATTCATCCTTTGTTTTAAATATATTAATACTTCCAAAACATTATTGAGAGACCAGTCGGGAGCCAAAAACCAGGATTACAGGCTTTATTAGGGGAAAAGACCTGCCGGGCTGTCTCGCAATGGGAGAACAGCAACCCCTGCAGAGGTGAGCAAACCTTTTGAGGGGAGGAATGGGAAGGAATGGGAAGGAATAGGGGCTTAGTGTACTCGGCACGCGCTGATTGGTGGCTTAATGTATGGTCCATATAGGAACAAGGGCTTAGGGTATTTGGCAGGTGTTGATTGGTGGTTCAATGTATAGTCCATATAAGTAAGGTACATGGTTAGTCACTCAGGTATTTCCTGGCTGCAGGTTACGTCATACTCCGCCCACCAGTAGGGGGAAGGGCGGATCTATCAATTATAGATGTCTTTCTTTGGTTCACCCATACTATGCACAGACATGTTATTTTTCAAAAGTTATTTAGTGCGAGGTTTTTTAAAATCATACACTCAAGCAAAAATCGAAATGATTGCTTTTGTCCCTGTCCACAGCTCCTTCAGCTCACCCATGTCCATTGGCTAACCATCAAGAAGGCATCAATGCAGGCACTTGTTGTTTTTGGTTTTTGTTTTTAATATATTTATTTCAGAGAGGAAGGGAGAAGGGGAGAGAGAAGTCTTGTGAATGGTACTACTGAGAGCTTATTATCTGTCAGCCACAACTTTGGGTACTCTGAGGATATGTAGATATGAGGGAGAATTCAGGGCTCAGGAATTTAAAATCCAGTGGGGGAAACAGCAGGAACACCATCAACTACAGTACCAGGTGTTACGGAAAAGGGCTGGTTCCAGCGTGGAATCTGGGAATTAAAGATGAGCAGGGATGAGGGCCTTCCAGCTGAAGGGGCTTCCAGAAAGGGCGAAAGGAAGTACAGACTCATGGCAGCTGGCAGTCTGGGTCAGAAATCGTCCCTCTTGAAGCTGCTTTTCCCATTTCCAAGACATTGTCTTTTCTTGATTTTGTTTGTTTGTTTCTGCACCCACTGGTCATTTGCCTTTTTGTTTTCTTCTTTTTTTATTTCTCCACCCATATCCTAAATGTTAACATTGTCCAGAATCGTCCTTCAGCTCCCTTCTCATTCCACACCTTTTCATTGAACTCAGCCCTCACCAGCTCTCAGCCTCCAGCATATGTGTCCTTGAGTGTACATAGATGACATCCAAGATTTCTCTCATTACCCTTCTCCCTCCCTCCCTGAGTCTCTTTATCCTGTGGGAAATGGGGATAGCACCTTAATCAGTTTTTCTATGAGAGGTAAAGCCTCTCTATGGCAAAGCTCGCCCACATGGATGTCATGCTTCCTCTATTCTAAATTAGTTGTAGGCCCCAACCCACCCACTTCTCTCATCCTCTCAGGCCTCCATGTATAGCCCTCTAAATGGAACCTCCTTCTCCAGAAAACCTCCACACCCTTAACCATCCCCAGCACATGAAGCTTGTTAAGACTTATCTCCCCAGTCACCTTCACCAGAAAGCACTCCCTTGAGTCCTCACCCCACTTCACCCCAGACTCCACCCTGGGCGTGCCTCTCTCATAGCACTGCAAGTTTATTCACTTCTTATTTTGAAATATTTCAGACTTATAGGAAATTAGCAAGAATAGTTCAAAGAATTTCCAGTACCCTTCACCCATTTTTTTTTAGCATTGCTCTTTATGCTTCATCATTCTGTTCCTCTCCATATATGTGCCATTTTTCTCCTGGTCCATTTGATAGTAAATTCATTTTATCCTTAATACTTTATTGATGTATTTTTATTTTTTTGTGAGAAGAGAGAGATCAATTTATAGTTCCACTTATTTATGCATTCTTATCAGTTGATTCTTGTATGTGCCCTGACTGGGATCGAACCTGTGGCCTTGGCATATGGGGACAGCACTCAACCCAGCGGTCGCCAACCTTTCAGACCTCATGGACCACCAGTGGTTGGCGACCACTGCTCTAACCAACTGAGCTACTTGGACAGGGCCTTTACCCTCATTACTTTAGTGGGATTTTCCCAAAAACATAACCAGAGAATGTTGTCAAATCCGGCTAGTTAACATTTAAGTAATTAATACTTTCATCAATACACAGCCAAGTTCTGTTTTTGTCAGTTGTCCCAACTATATCTTTTAGCATTTTTTTCTTGGTATCAGATCCAGTCCAGTACCCCATATTTCATTTAGTTGTGTCCTTCCATATGTAACAGCTACACAACCTTTCTTTTTCTTTCATGACACTACATGTGTTTGCTTGTTTTATTTTTGTTTTTTTTACAGTTGTACTCGGGATAAGATTTATTACAGCAAAAGTGCCATGTTTTTAAAATGCAGGCCAGTTTTCTTAGATTATCTCTGTTTGTTTGTCTGATTAGATTCAGTTCATGCATATTTAACCAGAATCCCACATGGGAGGTGTCATTTCCTCTCAGTATCATGTCCAGAGGCACACACTATTCTTTTGCTTCCATATAATCATTTGGTTAAGGTGTTACCTGGTTTCTCCACTCTACTGCTGGTATTTTTCCTTTTGTGATTATTAAGTAATTTGTGGGGAGATATTTTAAGACTATATAAACCTCTTATTTCCCCCATCAGACTCTCACCTGCTTGATTCCTGACTGAATCCATTTTTACCTTGATGAGCAGCGATTTTTTTTTTCTGTCCTTATGAGTATGAATTCATGGAATCTTACTTATTTGATGCCAAAATTGTCCCATATTTGGCTGGTAGGAGCACTTTTCAGCTGCCTCCTTGTCCTTTCAAAACACCCCTGCATATTTGAGTACTTTTTTATTTTCTGGCAAAGGTGTTTGAGGCTTACCATACTGTATTTTTTAAATTGTGGTAAAATATACCTACAACTTATCATTTTTTTAAAATATATTGATTTCAGAGAGGAAGGGAGAGGGAGAGAGAAATAGAAACATCAATGATGAGAGAGAATTGTTGATTGGCTGCCTCCTGCACGCCCCCAACTGGGGATCCAGCCCACAACTCGGGCATGTGCCCTGACTGGGAATCGAACAGTAACCTCCTGGTTCATAGGTCGACACTTAACCACTGAGCCATGCCAGCCAGGCAACTTGTCATTTTAAAGTGTACAGTTCAGTGGCATTAAATTGTACATCCATCGCCTCTGTCTAGTTCAGAACTTTTTCATCATCCCAAATAGAAACCCTGGACCCATTAATCAGCCACTCCCATTCCACCCCTACCATACACACACTGCCCCCTGCCCTGGGTAACCACTAATCCATTCTCTGTCTATGGATTGGCCTATACTGGACATTTCATATAAATGAAATCATGTAATATGTGGTCTTTTATGTCTGACTTCTTTAACTGTTTTTTCAAGGCTAACCTATGTTGTAGTATGTGTCACTGCTTCATTCCTTTTTAAGGCTGAATAATTTTCCATTGTTTGGATATACCACGCTTTGTTTATCCATTCATCCATTAATGGACACTTGGGTTGTTTCCCCTTTCGGCTATTGTGAATAATGCTGCTGTGTGTAATTTTTGTTTAAATAGATGTTGTCAGTTCTTCAGATATATCCCTAGAAGTAGGAATTTCTGGGTCATGCAATAATTCTGTTTACCAATTTTCCACAGTAGCTGCACCATTTTACATTACCATCAGCAACACAGAAAGGTTCCAGTTTCTCGACATCTTCAGTATTTGTTATTTTCAGTTCTTTGATAATAGCCATTTTAGTGAGTGTGAGTGGTATCCCATTTTGATTGGATTATCTTTTCCCTAAGAACTAATGTTGAGCATCTTTTCATGTACTTATTGGCCATTTGTAGATCTTCTTTGAAGAAGTCTATTTAAACCCTTTACCCATGTTTAAATTATGTTTTCTGTCTTTGTTGTTGAACTGTAAGAGTTCTTTCTATATTCTATATATATTAGACCCTTATTAGATATGTGATTTGCAAACATCTTCTCCCGTTCTGTGAGGTGTCTTGTTACTTTCTTAATAATGTCCTTTGCACAAAAGTTTTTAATTTTTATAAAGTCCAGTTAATCTGTTATTTCTATTGTTGCTTGTACTTTTGGTATCATATCTAAAAAAAACTATTGCCAAATCCAAGGTGATGAAATTTTAGCTCTATGTTTTCTTCTAAGAGTTTTATAGTTTTCGCGCTTACATTTAGGTTTTTGATCCATTTTGAGCCTGCAATCGTAAACTAGCACATAATAAGCACCCAATGTTAGTTGCTATATTATGATTATGATTATGATTATTATATTAGGAATTAATGTCAAGGAAATAATTTTTAGGAAAGGTATGCATTGAGTTTTATCACATTATTGACTTAATATTTAGGTGTTATATGGTTTAGTAGATATGTTTTCTAAAAAGTCCTTATACTTAAATACTTAAAAATGAATATACACTAACATACTTAGAAATGAAATGATACCATGCCTGGGATTTGATGTCGAAGTTGGGTAATGAAAAAGTATGACTGTATAGTTGAGTTTGAAGCGTGAAGAGGAGTTTGCCAAATAGATATGAGGCTGATAGGCATTTCTAACAGAGGCACTCACTGAAAGGGCACATCAGGCCCGGAACAGCAGGAATTATTCACTCAGCATCTGCAAGTATTTTATACAAAGTGTAGAGCAATGAAAATCCCAGACCTGGTTTTGCCCTCTTTCAGCTCTCTGTCCAGAGGAGCTATTCACAAATTGCAGTAACTATTATCAGAGCTAAGAGTGGTTGGAGAAGGCTTCTCTGAGGAAGCAGTTCTGAAAAATGAGTTGGTATTGTTAGGAAAGTGGCTTCCCAGATCTGGTAGAGGAGATGTGTGAGAGCCTGAGGGAGGATGAGACACTGTGCTCAGTGAAATGGAAAATGGGACTACAGAGCGTCGAGGGTGGGAGGCATAGGAGAGGCCAGTGAGGTCAGAAGTTTCAGAGGAAAGGGGCCTCAGCAAGCCATGGAAGAATTTTACTCTTAGGAAGAATGTGGAAGTGGTGCAAAATTGGGGAGAGGGAGAAGGCCATGGAGATGCCAGCATGTGTGGAGTGGGTGGAAAGACAAACCATAGGAGACTCAGAAAGTGTGGACATAGAGACATAGAGACAGGAATTCCTGTCCAAGCGATGAGTGTCATAGACACCAGGAGGAAGCAGGAGGCTGCTTCATGGGAAGCTGTTGAGAGGGATCATCAAGCCTGAGGAGAGCCATTAGTTTTGGCAGCACAGACCACTGGTGATCCTGAATGCAGAGTAAAGCAGATGTGAAAGGAACTAAAGAAAATAATGAGCAAAAGGAAGTTAGAGAAACAGATGTAGTGCACATAAACATTCTAGAGAAACACTATCAGAGGAATAAGACAGTCTGTCCATAAACAGGAACAGGTTCAGAAGTGGGAAAGGAGGGGACACCTGGAGGAGGAGGAGGGGGAGCTCGGGGGCTTAAAATGAGATATCAGCAATAAAAAAACTGGCTGAAAGTTTGCAAGGTGTAGGAAATCTTCCATGTAAATAATGGCTAGCTTATGTCACGCTTCCTATGCATACACTGTCCTAAGTGTTTTATATTAACCTTCACAGCAGCTCGATGCCCAGGTCTTGCCATTATCACGGATCATGGTTCAGAGATGAGGCATCCCAAGGCCCTAAGAGCAGTTAGGAGTCAGTGAGAGCTTGAGCTAAGACCTGGTAAGGTACACCTGGGCCTTAGACAGCGTCACTGAGGATGATCGCTGTGGTCTTCATTACATGTGCTATCAGCCACGGAAGCTTGGGTGTGGGGTGTGGAGACTACAAAATACAACCTGTTTGTACATAAAACAGTAGTTCAAGTGTTATCCCATTGTGTGAGGGAAAACCCCAATGTCCTAGGTAGTGAACATTTTTCACAGGTAACAGAATCCAGAAAAATAACTGTCAAAACAGAACTGATATTTTTATTTAGCTGTGAAAAATTGTAAATTGAATGATTAATAGTGTTTAGCATAATTAAATTGTTTTCCTTTGCTTGACAGATGATTAAACTTCAGGAAGTATTTAAGACATTTTATCTCGGAAAGCACAGTGGTCGAAAACTTCAATGGCAAACTACATTGGGACATGCTGTTTTAAAAGCAGAGTTTAAGGAAGTAAGTTCTTTGTTAAATATACTTTTTATTTTTGTAAGTATGTTAACAATTTTTAAAATTGTGATTGAACTTTGGTAGCAAAGAAAGGAAAATATTCAGTATAACTCAACACTGGCTTTTGTAGGTGATAAAATTGGAACAGTTGAAGGATTAATATCCCAATCAATAATAAGTCAACAGGAATAGAAAAACATTTACCTAATTGAAAAATGAGCAAAGGATGTGGAGAGGCAACTCATAAAAGCAAGACTAAAAAATCAATATCCATGAAAATGTGTTCCACTTCTCTGCCAATCAAAAGGTTGCAAATTAAAACACAATAAAGTGCCACTTTTGATTATGAAATTGATAAAGGCTAAAATTAAAAGAAACAGCAACTCTTGCCCATTGCTGGAGGGAGGGATAACGTGAGCTTTATGAAGGGTGGTTTGACAATGTATATCTCAAAACCTCTCCAAACATGCTTTGTTGCATTAGCTTCAATTCTGGGAATTCATCTTAATAAGACCTTTTCTCAGGTTAATGAATAAAAATGTCTGTTGCAGTGCTATTTTTTTAATGGTTTTTTAAAATATATTTTTATTGATTTCAGAGAGAGAGATAGAAATATCAGTGATGAGAGAAAATCATTGATTGGCTGCCTCCTGTATGCCCCACTCTAGGGATCGAGCCCACAACCCAGGCATGTGCCCTGAACGGGAATCGAACCATGCCCTCCTGGTTCATAGGTCGATGCTCAACCACTAAGCCACACCAACAAGGCTGCAGTGCTATTTTTAAAAATGATCATTTAAAATGGGAAATGCATACAATGTATTGATAAATGAAAGAAGCATGTCACAAAACAGTCCCTTCATATTCGAATTTAACTTTAATTTTATAAATAAACTTATGTACACTAAGCAAAAACAAACAAGATTTCTATTTTGCTGGCTATTATAATACATTATCTATACACTATTATAAATTATACAGTTGACCCTTGAACAACTATGGTTTGAACTGTGTGGGTCCACTTATATGCGGATTTTATTTTTAAAAAAGTAGCCCTAACCGGTTTGGCTCAACGGATAGAGCGTCGGCCTGCAGACTCAAGGGTCCCAGGTTTGATTCCAGTCAAGGGCATGTACCTTGGTTGCGGGCACATCCCCAGTGGGGAGTGTGCAGGAGGCAGCTGATCGATGTTTCTCCCTCATCGATGTTTCTAACTCTCTATCCCTCTCCCTTCCTCTCTGCAAAAAATCAATAAAATATTTTTTTTTAATTTTTTAAAAAAGTATAAGTGGCAGATGATCTATAGATGCAATGCAATTCCTATCAAGATACCAGTGGAGTATTTCACAGAACTAGAACAAACATTCCAAAATATTTATATGGAACCACAAAAGACCCAGAATAGCTACAGAAATCTTGAGAAAGAACAAAGTTGGAGGAATCACGCTACCCGGTAAACTATACTATAAGGCCATGGTAATCAAAACCATGTTACTGGCATAAAAATAGACATATAGATCAATGAAATAGAATATAGAGCCCAGAAATAAACCCATGCCTTTATGATTAATGTTTGACAAAGGAGGCAAGAACATACAATGGAATAAAGACAGTCTATTCAACAAATGGTGTTGGGAAAATTGGATACCTGCAAAAAAGTGAAACTAAATCACTTTTGGACACCATATACAAGAATAAACTTCAAAAGGGATTAAAGATTTAAATGTAAGACTCGAAATTATAAAAATCCTAGAAGAACACATATGCAGTAAAATCTGTGACAATTCTCTTAGCAATATTTTATTTATATATATCTGTCTGTCTATCTATCTATCTATCCATCTATCTATCTTTGGGCAAGGGAAACCAAAGAAAAAATAACAAATGAGACTACATCAAACTAAAATGTTTTTGCACAGCAAAGGAAACCATCAACAAACTGAAAAGACAACCCACTGAATGGGAGAACGTATTCACCAATACATCTGATAAGGGGTTAATATACAAAATTTATAAAGATTTTATAAAACTCAACACCAAAACAATAAAATTAAAAAATGGGCAAAGGACCTAAAATAGACATTTCTCGGAAGAGGACATACATACGAAAAGATGCAAATTAAAACCACAATGAGATATCACCTCACACCTGTCAGAATGGCTTTCTTCAGTAACTCAACAAATAGTGTTGGTGAGGATGTGGAGAAAAAGGAACCCTTGTGCACTGTTGGTGGAAATGCAGATTGGTGCAGCCCCTATGAAAAAAAATTAAAAATGGAACTACCTTATGACCCAGCAATTCCACTTACAGGAATATAATCCAAAGAAACCCGAAACACTAATTCCAAAGAATGTATGCCCCCCTATGTTTATTGCAGCATTATTTATAACTAGAGGCCTGGTGCATGAAATTTGAGCATGGGTAGGGTCCCTAGGCCTGGCCGGCGATCAGGGCCAATTGGGGCCTTACAGCTGCGGGCTGGGGCCTCCCTTCTTTGGCTGCTGGCTTCTGGCTGGGGCCTTCCTTTGTTTCACGCCACCCCCTGGTGGTCAACGCACGTCATAGCAAGTGGTTGAGCAGCCTTAGCATCTCATTAGCATATTACGCTAATGAGCGACCGGACGCTTAGCATATCAGGCTTTTATTATATAGGATTATGCATTCATGTTGCATTGTGTTTTGTTGTGCAGGGTTATACACATAAAACCACACCTACTAGTCTTTAAGGTATTATAAAAGTTAAGCTATGATCCCCTCACTGCCAGCTTCAGAACTGAACCTCTGCAGAATGATCTCCTCACTGCGATTCTTCCCTTCCATGGCTAGGCTTGAGGATGAAGCACTCACAGCATGCTCTGTTGTCCACACAGAACTAATTATGTGTGGAAAGCCTCTATAGTGGGGACTTTTTAAATAGAGGTGGGGCCCAGCCAGCGTAGCTCAGTAGTTGAGTGTCGCCCTATGAAACGAGGTCATGGTTCGATTCCCAGTCAGGGCACATGCCCAGCTTTGGGGTCCATCTCCAGTGTGGGGCATGCAAGAGGCAACCAATCAATGATGCTCTCTCATCATTGATGTTTCTCTCTCCCTCTCCCTTCCTCTCTGAAATCAATAAAAATATATTTTAAAAAAAAATAGAGGTGTGAAATTATGTGAGGTCCAAAACTGGGTTATATTAGTCATGTACATCACAAGCACATATAAAGGGAAACTGGCCAACAGATTATGATCATTTATGTGCTTATTTCATTACTCATTCTTTAACAATGATGTTAGCTGGATCTTTTGCTAGCTCCCCTGTCCATACAGGTTTTGTCACTGGGCCTTCTCATGCTCTGTCCACTCATTCCAGTGGCATTCCTAACCATTAAGAGGACCTCGGCAAGCTAAAATGGGACCCAAGGGTGCTGTTAGATTTGTGTCAGCAACATCTGACTTCAAATAATGATAATCACCTTGTTCAACACAATTTACTAAAGAACTTTTTTACTACTTTAAAAAATATTTCAAGCGAAGAATTTTTAAGTGCAATACCAAGTCATTTTATGCTTGTATAATTAGTAACATAATTTCTTCTTATTTGGTGGCTAATTAGTAATTTCTTATACCCTCTTCCCCCAAAGTTTGAGAGCAAAAGAAAGCTTCTTAAAAGTTTTCAAGATTGTGCAAACATAGCTTCATGCATGATATATTTGTTTTCTTTAAGGGAAAGAAAGAGTTCCAGGTATCCCTCTTCCAGACTCTGGTGCTTCTCATGTTCAATGAAGGGGACGGATTCAGCTTTGAAGACATAAAAATGGCCACTGGGATAGGTATGAAAACACTTTTATGAATGTGTGGTTTTTGAGTGCCCTTGTTTTTAAACACTTACTCGTTTAAGACTGTGTCTCTGCTTGTCGCACTTGAGAGAGTGGTTTCTTTCATTTTTGTTGTGTCATTATTCATTTTAATGCTAATCTCTGCCTGCATTTTTCTCCCCATCCAGAGGACAGTGAATTGCGGAGAACATTACAGTCACTGGCCTGTGGCAAAGCACGAGTTCTGATTAAAAGTCCCAAAGGAAAGGAGGTAGAAGATGGAGACAAATTCATTTTTAACGGAGATTTCAAACACAAGTTATTTCGAATAAAGATCAATCAAATTCAGATGAAGGAAACCGTATGTATAAACTTTCTCTTTTTACTTATAGGGAGGGTGTTCACCAAGGAATCACTGGTTTTTATAATTTCTTGACTGTAAGAGTTCTGAAGTATATTTCTAAAGTATCTAATTTGAATACAGTGTTTATAAGAGTATTCATTTTAATTTAGCTTTTGTTAACTTTATATTCACAAGAATGAAAATCAAAAAGAAATGCATTTAAGTTATTCACAAAAGTGGTGTGATAAATCAGAGCTTCCTATATCAAATTCTGTTAGTGGAGAGAGCATGTCATTTCCAAAACCCAGTGACTTGTCTTTTTATTTTTGCACAGCACATTTCAGCCATTCTCTCAGCCTCGGCCTCAGCCAGGGTCCTGGGGTGGAAGTGGTAAGAGTTGTGGGTGTCAAGGACCCACTGACATTGTATCTGTGATCTGTGTACAGGTGGAGCATCTGTAGCTTTGATCAGATTCTCAAGGTTCGTGTCCAGAGCAGGTTCTGGCCCACTGCCCTCAGGCCCTTCCTAATGCAGAAGTCCTTGCACCCCTGGGCTGTTATCAAACATACAGGCCAGGTGGGCAGGCCCACCCCTGGCACCCCACTTATATAACAGGGTGTCCAGCTGGCCCCCTTGTACATGTTAATGACTTGAAGAGAGGCCTTTTGAATGAGTGAGGTCAATTCAGACAACCCAAGGGCAGCTTTCATTGATCTAAAGTGGTATCACAAATACTTTCTCCACCTCCAGCAGAAGACAGTGATTGCTTTACTTACATAGAGGTGTTCAAAGCAGCCTTCAGAAAATATGTTCAGACTACACAAAAGAAATAAAAACAAAAACAATAAATATATAAAAGATGTTCTCTCACCAATAATTTTTATGAAATTCAAATTAAAGTAACATTCCATTTTTAATCTGTCACTTTGGGAAATGTTTAAAAGTTTGTCATATCCAGGGCTGGTAATATATGGGGAAAACAGACATTCATTTTTAAGGGTTTTTTTGTTTGTTTGGGTTTTTTTGGTTTTTTTAAAAAATATATTTTATTGATTTTTTACAGAGAGGAGGGGAGAGGGATAGAGAGTTAGAAACATCGATGAGAGAGAAACATCGATCAGCTGCCTCCTGCACACTCCCCACTGGGGATGTGCCCGCAACCAAGGTACATGCCCTTGACCGGAATCGAACCCGGGACCCTTCAGTCCGCAGGCCGATGCTCTATCCCAGGGGTCCTCAAACTACGGCCCGTGGTCCACATGCAAATACAAATATTGTATTTGTTCCCGTTTTGTTTTTTTACTTCAAAATAAGGTATGTGCAGTGTGCATAGGAATTTGTTCATAGTTTTTTTTTAAACTATAGTCCGGCCCTCCAACGGTCTGAGGGACAGTGAACTGGCCCCCTGTTTAAAAAGTTTGAGGACCCCTGCTCTATCCACTGAGCCAAACCAGTTAGGGCTGTTTGTTTGTTTTTAAGATGTTTGACATACACAGACCTGCCTATCCCCCACCCTTCTTTGATCTGCGGGCTCCTATTAGGTTGTTTTAAAATATATATATATATTTTTTATTTTTATTTTTTTAATTTCAGAGAGGAAGGGAGAGGAAGAAAGAGAGAGAAGCATCAATGAAAAGAATCATTGATCGGCTACCTCCTACCTTATATGCCCCCTACAGGGGATCAAGCCCACAACCCGGGCGTGTGCCCTGACCTGGAATCAAACCATGACCTCCCTGTTCACAGGTCAATGCTCAACCACTAAGCCACTGTGGTTGGGTTTTTTTAACCATCAAGTTGTTGTTATCAGCATTTGCTGTTTGCTTCTGGTAACAGCTCTTAATCTGTTCAAGTTCTTTTATTTTTTCTAATTACTCCTTATATATTCAAGTTTGTTTTAAATCAAGAATAGATTTTCAGTTTTGTCATGCCTTATCAAGGTGATTATAATCTAACCTTGAAATTACTGTGATGATTTCTGTCACATTAGTAGATTCCCAATGCTGAGAAAAGTTTACATTTCTGGAATAAATTCTGATGGCTAGTATGCTTTGTTTTGTTTTCATTACTGTGCTCCTGGATTTAATCCAGGATTATATAGGGTTTTTACAGCTTTTCTATAACTTTTTAAATTATTTTTCAATGTTTGGTACTGACGTTGCACTCCTTGGAAGCTAGGTTTTATTAGAACACAATGCATAGCAGAACAAGATTCATTTAAAGTTTGGCCTTTCTTGGCATCCAAAGTTTCTAGTCAACGTCAACAGTATGACATAATTAATACTAAAATATATCTTTACACTTCACTATTTGTCTTTTTTGTGCAGGTTGAAGAACAAGTCAGCACCACTGAGCGAGTGTTTCAGGATAGACAGTATCAGATTGATGCTGCCATCGTCAGAATAATGAAGATGAGAAAGACTCTGGGTCATAATCTCCTAGTGTCGGAATTGTATAACCAGCTGAAATTTCCAGTAAAGGTAAATGCATATTGGCTTAATTAAAACTGTAGCATTGTGCCAAACCATTGGCAAATAATGTTCGATTCTCATTACCTTCAGAATCATATCATTTGTTCTATATTATAAGTGATAATTTGCTTCAAAAATCTACCTTTATGTATATACTAAGTCTAGAAAACCTGGCAAATGATGAGAGTAGGAACTTTATCTCAAATGTTGTTCATCACCATTATGGGAGTGATATACTTAAAATTCCCACTCTAGAAGGGAGAAGGTACTACATGGAAATGGACATTCATTATCAGTAGTTGTAACAATTCAGGTTATATCACAGGATTTTAAGGAGATCATGCTAACTAATAAGCATTTTGCAAACTACAAAGCATTCTTTACCTCAGTAATATGTCTTCGTTGCTATTGAGTAAAAAGTCTACCCTAAAACCTTTCAGTCCGAACATATTTCCAGAACTGAGACCTGTCCTGGCTGTATATGGAGTACAGGATAGGATAAGTGAGAGAAGCATTATGAAGAGCTTTAAAGCATGTATAAATCCATCTAGAAAGTATGGGACTCTCATGGCACCTGGCCTTTCAGTGACTAAGCCTGCCACATGTGCTTTTGAGGTGGAAGTACCCTGAGTTTGTGTTGTCCAGTTTGATAAAAGACCAGCTGACCCTCCCTTCTCACCAAGGGAGTCGAGGTGGACCAATGAGTCTCGACACTGAAATGGCAGGTGAGAATGCCATCCTGCCTCGGCAAATATTGGGTTTCTGTACTCTGCAGAGGCAATGTGTGCTCCACCGTGCTCTGCTCAGTCATGGAACACTGCCTCATACACCATTCCTCCCGACCATGAGCCAGGGAGAGTGTTGATTTTCCCCTCTGCAGATGAGAGGCCCAGCAATTAAAAGACTAAATAGCAAGTAAGGTGTGCATACACCCATAGCGCCTAGTTCTATTTTGATAGGTAATTGGGTTTCAGCCACATATTGGAAAATGTATGACGTATCACTGAATAGAAAGTTACGATGTTTGGAAGAAAGAACATACAGGTAAAAAAACTTGCTCATAATTGTCAGCATAATCGTGCTTCCTAACAGCAGAGCCAGAGGGCGCTCTTCCTGGGCTGACATGTCATGGTGTGGACATATATCAATTCAGTCATCTACTTTTAGCAAAGGAACACTCAGAATTTGTGATTGTACTGTATAAATATAGCATATATAGTAAATATTAGTTCTTAGGGAGAAATATCCTTAACAGATGAAAGTACCTTGAGACATTATCAGATTTCCCTTTCAAACAAACAGAAATGTATTGCCTAATAGGATCTGCCATGTACTTATATTCATTAGTGATCATAAATAATGTATTTACATTTCACAAGTTTCATATTTCCCACAGGAAGGCCTAAAAATTCACATGGAGCACTTTGATCGAGAAATAATGTTAACATTGTCTTTGAAGTAGGAAGTTTTAGTATCATTTTGTAATTACAAATAAATATGTATATTTATATAATTATGTGTAAAATGAGCATAATTATAAATCACATATTTCATGCATGATGTTATATTCCCCTATGTTTGCAAATTTAATTCCACTGTAATTGGGTGTGTGTTTGTTTTTTTTCTTTTTTAGCCTGGAGATTTGAAAAAGAGAATTGAATCTCTTATAGACAGAGACTATATGGAGAGAGATAAAGACAATCCAAATCAGTACCATTACGTGGCCTGATGCATTGGCCAGCTGTTTTCTCTCAGTGAGACACTGGAATGTATCTCCAGAGCAGTGAAACACCTCTGTGCTGTTTCCAGGGCTTTCTGGGATTGAGCCAGCACAGATACTTTGGATTCGAAGGAAAGGAGATGATTCTTGAATAACCCTTCACAAGGCTTAAGGATTTGCAAATGGCATATATATCTTTTCACCCTCCAGTTCTTCCTCTTGTTCTTTTAGGCATTTAAGTTGTTTCCATTGCTCTGTGCAGAATGACATTGGGATTGGACAAGAAGATACTGGTTAAATGAGGTTCCTTTGTAAGGTGGTGTTCTTGTGGCAAAAAAAACTGAAAGTTTGGTTTGTTTTTGTGTGTGATCATGAATGCACAATAAAAAGACCCTCTATGCTGCATTCTTTAGCTACAGAGATTACTTAGGTATTCCTGAAGATAAGCTATTTTAGTTGATGAACACTTAGATTAAAACAAGAACCCTTAATTGGTGAACATTAAGAAGAAAGTCAGTGTTAAAAACTGGCTTATTAATTATGCAATCTAAATACTGGCATCTGTTTTTCATTTATTTTTAAAAAGTTTTAAACTTTAATGACTGATTTTTCTATAATGAGGTTTCTCGGTGAGATCTCTGATGTGCCAAGAGGACATCGGGTCTGATGTGTTTGGAGCAATGAACCCATCAGCGTCTTTATTTCCACTGAATTATTTGTGAATTTTCTGTTTAAGGTTTTGGGGGGAGAGTGTGTTTGTGTTTACCATTCTAAGATTGAGTCTAGCAGTCCCTGTATTTTGCATTGGGGTAACTGCTGTTTGATTTTTTTTTAATTGCAGTATTTGTATGAATGGTATAATAAAGTTTGGTTTTGTTCTTACAGTCACGCACAGGGACAGTCGTCATTCTCTGTGCCATAACCACTGTAAAATGTTTTATAGGAGACTTAAAGTCTTTATTGTGAAGCAGAGGTTATTTTGTCAAAAGATTAAAAGGATTTCATTGGCACCTGGTTTCATGTTGTGTATGTATAGTGAAGTTGAATAGCAGATTATGTTAGTATGGTAACTATAACAAAGATACTTTTAGATAACATTTAAAACTACTTTATATTTTACATAATGGCATGTTTCATTTTTATTAAAAACTACCAAAGGAATTTTGATCATGGTATAAGTGTTTAAAGCAATATTTTCTGGACTATAACAAGTTTATATAATTTGATTTTGTGCTAAATTATTCAAAGATTCTGCATTTTTGAAACATGCGTGTTTAAAATACGACATCTTATGGGTTTCCATATGAAAATCCTCTAAGTATCATTTCTATATTTGTAAATTTTCATTTGAGTTCTATGATATATGGTCTATAAAACACCAAATAGATTTCTACTTCTTATATTTTAAGTTCACTGTCTCTAGAGATTAATATTGTAACTTAATGTAGACTTACTCTGAATAAAATTAGTTTAATTGGCCTTAAAATTACATTAATAAAACTTTGTGGTATGCAGATGACATTCCTCATAAATCTTTAGCAACTTAAAATTCATTACTAATACAATAGACAGAACCAGAAGCAGGGCAAATGCCCATCACCCTCTCAGGTAATGATTCTTTCCTGTCCGCTTTCACAAGCTACTCAGCAAAACATCAGCAGACTGGTCTGGCTTCACCGTGAGCAACATACTATGCCTCTTATTGTGCTTGTTTTTATCCATTCAACTATCAGTATCATTTAAAGTTTTACTATAATTAAATGTTAATGTAGTAAAACAGTGTAGAGAAAATGATTGAAAAAGAAAAGGCACTTAAATGAGAAAAAGGCTATAAAATTGGAAATGAGAAAGTGAAATTATTTACAGATATGATTCCCTGAAAAATCTAAGAAGTAACTGGAAAGCTATGACTAAAAAAAAAGGGGAAATTCACTAAGTTTTTAATTAAACACAAAATTAACAGAAAAGTCAAAATATAATGGAAAACCATTTTTTCAATAAGAGCAAAAAATGATAATACCTAGTAACAAGAAAATATCTATGCTATATGAATTTTATTTTTTCAATATGTTTTTATTGATTTCAGAGAGGAAGGGAGAGAGAGAGAAATGTCAGTGATGAGATAGAATCATTCATGGGCTGCCTCCTGCACTCCCCCCACCCCCCACACACACACACATAGACACACTGGGGATCGAGCTGGCAACCCGAGCATGTGCCCTGACCAGGAATTGAACCACAATCTCCTGGGTCATAGGTCAAAGTTCAACCACTGAGCCACACCAGTCAGCTGAAAAGCATTATTAAATGATTTATTCCTATATTTGTGCAGTATTTTAAGATGTCAGATGTCCCTTATTTTAAAACACAGACCTGGTGATCCTAAAGTTAAAACAGAAAAGCAAATAGGCAAGAATAGTCGAATACTGTTTTAAAACCTATAACACGGTGTAATTAAAACACCATACTGCTGGCATACAAATGGATCTCTGGAACCAAATAAAATCCATAAATGAACCAAATACATGAGAATGTGCGCGACATCCAGGGCATGTCAGGGAAAGGAAACTTTTCAACAAATAATGCTGGCAAAATCTGGTTTATCAGCTTGAAAAAAGCAAAGTTAGATTGTACTCATTTTTTATACTAAGTCCCAAGTGGTCAAAGTTTTAAGTGTTATAAAATGAAACCATAAATTTAAGAGAAGATCCTTTTTTATTCTCAGAATGGAAAAAAGTCTAATCTCAAATTAAGATCCTTTTTTTAAAAATGATAACCTTCTAAAAGTCTACATGGGGAAAAATTTTAAAGCCTGGAAATTTTTGGATAAAAAGACAATATTAACTATTTTAGTGTATAGAGAATTACAAGTTAGCAGGAGTGAGACTAATAACCTGTGAGATAGTATGGATGTGTTCTTGATGAGTTTTTCAGAGGAGAGAAATACAGTGAGTAATGGATTGTGATTTTAAGAAAGAAATGAAACAGTTGGAGGAAAAGTGGAATTCAAGGGGGTCATTTTGAGACAGGCTTGTTCAGCAACTTTGCCAGTATTTGGGTGTCACCCTGGAGAGGCATACTGGCCCAGAAGGGAGCACAGAGGACAGGCGAGGCCCCTCATCACCCCTTCCTCGCTTGGATGCAGCAAGGGAGGAGGGGGTAGGCGGAAGTTGGAGCAGGTAAAGGCCAAAGCCAAGTCTGTCTGATGGGGTGAGGTGGCTGAGGGCAATGGTGGGGATGAGGGCTGAACCTTGGAATCGGATAACCGGAAGGTAAACAGGTCTGTGCTCACTGAAAGGCGGAAGAACTGGGTTTGGAGGGAGCTCATGTCGTAATTACAGGATCTGGGGAAAGAAAGGGGGCTGAAGTAAGATCAAAGCTGGATCAAGAGTGATGACAAAGCAGCATAGAGAACTGCCAGGAGTGATGGGCAGTGACCAAGTGCCTGGAGGGAAAGTGATGCCCCTCGTACTTCAGAGATGGGGGGGGGGGCAGTTGTACTGATAGTATTTTTAATATATGAAGTTAAATATATTATTAAAGTTAATTTCATCTTTCCACTTTACTTTTTTCTTTTTTTAATCCTCACCCGAGGACATGCTTTATTGATTTTAGAGAGGAAGGGAGAGGGAGAGAGAGAGGGGGAAAAAACCTTAATTTGAGAGTCAAACATCAATCGGTTGCCTCCCTCACATACCTGGATCTTGGGTCAACCTCCCAACCTGGATATGTGCCCTGACCAGGAATCAAACCTGCTACCTTTCCGTGTATGGGACAATGTTCCAACCAACTGAGCCACACCAGCCAGGACCTTTTTACTCTTTTTATATGAGGCTACTAGAAAATCTAAAATTGTATTTCTGTTGGAGAGCACAGGTCATTCAGCAAGGTAGGCATGGAGTCACCATGCAAGACGAGTCAAACAATGACAGCTGTTTAACGAGACACAGTTCCCCGTGGGGGGGGGGGGGGGGGGGGGGGGGACGACTAAGGTTTGAAGGTAGCAATGAATAGAAAACAAGCCCCTACCCCACCTCCAGGCCCAAGGTAGATGGGACAAGAAGATGAGACAGCTACCATGTGCTGGGCTGCAGGGAAAGCAGGGTCCTCAGGAAAGGTTTCTGCAGGCACTGGTAGGAGGAGGATGTTGCTGCATTCAGTCCTGTGGCAGGAAGTCTGCTGGCCAACATCCCTGGTCTCTGCCCCTTTCCATTCACTGTCCCCACAGAGAATAAATAACTGATTAGTCTGAAATGAGAAACAAGACAGGCACAGCTCCCCACCGGCATCTGCTTCCTGCACAGGCTCTTTCGGCGCCTCCCAAGGAGAAAGCCTGAGCCCTACTTGGTGGTTTAGAACTCTCTGGGGAAACAGTGCCATTTATCAAACATTTAGGAGGTGGGGGTTTTATTGACAAGCGATTATGGTTCAGAGAGGTCAGCAGAAAGGGCTGGGGTTGGAAGGGGGAATTGGGTGGTACAGGGGCAGACGTAGAGTGTTGAGCTCCTTCTGGAAGGTTAGCAGAGTGCGTAGTGGGGTCAGACCTAGCAGGCTTTCTCAGGAAGCGACCCTCAGTTGTGAGGTGGGGAGATGGTCTCTCAGATAAACTTACAAGTATATTTTAAATTAGAAAATGCTCGTCCCTTTGACCCAACAAATTCCATTGCTAGGCAATTATCCTATGATATACTGCCACTCATGTGGAATGATTTCTAGTACTATAACAGCATTCATTTAAAAATTCCTAACTGTCCATGGGCAGGCCTGGTTGAGTGATGTCTGTCCGTACATGCCTGATGCTATCTGTGTTCCCGAAGCTTTACCCAAAAGGAGATCTAGACACTGACAGGGAGCAAATGTCTAGATATATTGTGATATGAGAAAAGTACTGTTAAAAAAGAAACAACAAGCACAAAATGCAATCACTTATGCTAAGCTCCGGGTCACCAAAATGAGATTTAATACCTAATTTAATTAGTTTCAGCCTCTCCCGGAAATGGAATCTTAAACCAGTCATCAGAAATGACCTGGTTAGCACTAGTGAGGTAATCTGCTAGAAAGACCCCTGGGACCTTGCGACAATCTGCTTTTTGCTTGTTTAACTTCCTCAACCCACTCTCTTCTGCCTGTACGTCTTTCATTTTATACAGCTCCTTGGAGTTCCTTTCTGATAGATGGAATGCCGCCCGATTCATGAATCATTGACTAAAGCCATCTTTAAAATTCACTCAAATTTTGTTTTTCAGCAGGATAGAATAGTATAATAGTGCTACTACTATTTGTGTGTGTGTATACATATACACACATGCATATGAATGACAGGAAATGACAGCTGCCCCTCCAAAATGGAGTTCTGGACGGCTAGGAACAGGTAAGAGGTGGACGAAAGCGGCCTCGTGCTAACCTGACAAGCTCAGAGGAGGCCTGCATGGCGGTCTTGCAAACTCAGAGACCTAAAGTAACCACAAAGGATGGTCTGAAATTAAACTTTAACTTAAAGCAGTTATGGTGGGTAGTTACATCCTAGGCTGGTATCTTCACTGACAAGGTCAACCTTTACCTTAACTGAGCCTGTCTGTCTTTTTGCATCTATGATAACATATCCTTGAAATGTCTGGGTAACTTGTAACTTCCCTTTTTCCGGAACCCTCAGGGCACAACCAAATGCCCTAGGCGCCAGGACAGATACCACACATTCCTTCATTGTTATTACCATCATGTTAGTTGTTGACTGTTAACTATCCTGCACCCACTTAAGTATGTGTCTTATCATTTTACTTTTTATCCAATCCCAGGGGTTTCCCTGCTTTGCTTTCTCCCACCTCTCTAATCTATCACCATTGGATTTCATGTAACCCACCTATGTCCCCTCCTTTGATTACATTGTATAAAAATAGATTTTAAAAATGCCATTCTCTGGAGCATTATCCCAATCCATTTAGATACTGCTTCCCAAGCAGTTGTCGACAGTTTGACTCAAATTAACTCACAAAAATTCTTTACAGGTTTGAATGTTTTTATGTTAACAGAGGGAAACGCCATTGTAGACCCTTCTGTACTTTTTAAATTTTGGTCAAAACAATGTAAGATAATCAAATTGGTAAGAAAAACAAAGTGACTCCACCTACCATATCCTGCAGCATCCTATCCTACAAGACAAGGAATCCATCTACCCAAAGGAACCCCACTCCCCCTCCCACCCTCCCAATCTAGTCAATTGTATCATTTTGAGTTCTTTTATATTTACCTTTATTGTAAATAATATATTGAAACCTCTATTTTCTTGATCCATGAATTTACTGTTTCTCAAGAATATTTACTATGAAAATGAAGAAATAAGAGCCCATATTTTCCCTTTTCTTTCTCCAGATTTCTGACAGCCCTTGTCAGATTACTTTTGCATTTATATATTTAATAAACTTTTTATGTTTTACCTAAAAGTTGGAAATTGAAATAGCATTTATGGCATAATTCACTTCAGAAGCGAGGAGTGTGCCTAACCCAGAGTGAAATG